AAAAAAAACTTTTCAGTTTCCTCAAAGGGTGCAGCAGCAACAACAAACTATAAATCAATGTCAGTTTATTTTCAAAAGCTGATGATGCAAAGCAATAAACTTTTCCAAATTCAACTTTTTCTAGAAATTTCCAAACTAAGCTAAACCCGTTTTGAAAGCAGTAAAATGATCATTGTAATCAAGCTTTTCCCATCCTCTTTCTTTTTGCCTCACTCGAGTCAACCCATTTTTATTTTACCAAATTTACAAAAAAAAATTTCTGACCCGATATTTGAACTTCAGACCTTTTGATTTTGAATCTAATGACTTCACCGCTCGGCCAAACGCGTTTTTAAAATTCAATCTGTTCTTGAAAGTTTCGTCTGCCTTTGACTGTTCTATGGCTAATTGGTACGCATAGAGTCCAATTATAGAACGATCAAACAAGCTCAAAAGAACAAAGCATTAAAGATCATTAGGTCAAATCAAAGAAACTAATTTCGCAAAACAATTTCGGGCAATTTTTTTCTGGTATATAATTATCTGGGACATAAATGTCAATGCACCGAATCCCATGACCATTTTAGTAAATCTCAGAAAAAATTGCTGGTGTTCCCGAATCGATACAACTCATTCAAGTTGTGTTTCTTCCTGTGTTTTCTGAAGAAAAAAAAAACATCTAAATTTTGCTCAAATTGATTTCAAAGGGCATGTTACTTAAATACCATCGTACTGAAAACTGTTGACAAAATTACTTCTTATATTAAAATTCATCATTAATTTCGTCTGCAAACGGCTTCACGAGCAGAACTTATGTATCATTTTAAATTAAGTTTAATCAATAATTAAAATTAGAAGTTTATTCCAGGTATACGCAAATACAGCTACTCGAAAAGACTATTGAACACAATATCCAAATATGGGATCAAAGGGAAAACTTTAAACTGGATCACAGCATTCTTAACGAAACAATCTGAACGGAACTATACCTTAAATGGCGGAAAACAACTAAGCAAAGTTGAATCAGAGAAAGATCTGGGAGTTATCGTTGATTCAAGACTACAATACCGTGAGCACATCACCAAAAAGACGAAAGTGGCAAACAGTATAGTCGCGATAATCAGGAAAAGTTTCGTAAACCTGACCTCTGAAATTCTAACGACCCTGTACAAAGCCTTAGTAAGAATACATCTGGAATATGCAAATCAGGCATGGAATCCATACCTTAAAAAAACAAAATTACGATTGAAAATGTTCAGCGACGCGCAACGAAACTTATTCCAGGTATACACAAATACAGCTACTCGAAACGACTTCAGATTTCGAAACTACTAACACTCGAGTATAGACGCAAACGCGGTAGAATGATTGAAGTCTTCAAAATTCTGAACGGTCTATACGATACAGCATCGACTGAAGGATTTTTTACAATCAACGAAAAAGACACAAGAAGAAACCCTTTCAAGATTCTGACCAAGAAGACCAGGAAAAAAGACTTTTACAGGGAAACGATTTTTTGTCTCAATTGAGGAGCTGAATCAGAGTACGACAACTATCTCGCCTAGATTTTCTACTTTTCTAAGAAGAGCAATATAGTTTAGCGACCAATACTTCTTGCGCCGATAAACGCAGTAGAGTAAGCAATCGCAACTTACAAAGGCCGCATTCGAAATTAGCGTTTTGATTTGCTTCTTGTATTGCTGCTTAGTACAACATCGATCTGATAAAAGGTAAGACTGGTAATAGACCTATGATTGGCCTAATGGAACTTCTCTTTTATTGTAGTAAAAAGTAGGACAGGTGGAAAATAAACAGAATTAAATTTTTTAAACAAATAAAAGATAATCTGTTTTTTCGATTTGAGCCGAAAACGTTAAAAAGTGGTTGATATTTGAAAAATTAATTTTTTATTCATTTTGCCGCCGGAAGATCATACTCGAGGTATTTTTTCGACCGAGCTTGAGGTATGTTTCGAACGTACTCGACAGAATCTCGATGCCTCGACTTTGAAAAGGCAAATTTAAAGTAAGCACTTCGACTCGGGTAGTTTAACACTTAATTGTTTCACAAAAATTTTTCGCATAAATTCTACACTAAAAGCAAAATTGAAAACTTATGATTGAGAACCAGTTTGATCCATGGCAAAACATTTTTATACTTATGTATGTGTTTTAAGCGTATATTATTTTTTATAGCTGAAAACAGCATTCTTCAAAAACCAACATAGAGACCACATTTTCGTGACCCCAAAAATTTCATGAACAATAAAAAAGCCATTTGCTTTGCAAGTAGAACAGAATGTTCTGACCAAATTCATTTTAAAAAACTCAATATTTTCATCAGATCAGAAAAGTGTATTTTTTGCAATTTTTGTTGTCGAAAATTTGTTATTTATGATCTAGAAAGGGCGATAAAAATATTTGAAAACAGAACAAAGCTTGGCACCAGTAGTTAAAACAACGTTAAATAAAGCGCTATACTACTAGTAAATGGAAGTTAGTTGAAGTCAACCTCATCAAGTTTCTTTAACTTAGTCAGAAAAACAAAAAGAAAAAATAAGACTAGTTTCTCTTAACACAGAGAAGTTTTCTTATTGTTTGAGAATTCAAATCAAGATTGATAGGGCTTGAAAAACGATACCACTCTTTGCCCCTACGAACTTTCCTTCAGGTAGTCAGCTTTAGTAAAAAAAATAAGAACGGATAAAAAAACGGATCTTACGCAATAATTTCTGCCCAAATTTTGAGGTGTCAAACAGGATTGAAACTTTAATTGAATTGCTAAATTGTAAAGATTAAAGCAAGAAACTTAACATTTTCTCGTAAAGTTAATTTAGCGAAATTATTACATCATTTTACTGTTTTAGATATTTTTGTGTTGGTTTTTGCGAAGAGTAGTGGAGTACTTGTGCCCGAGGTAATTTTTTTCAGACAGACGAAATTTGACTAACTATCAAAATCGACAGATAATTTTTTTCCAACAAACGATACTTGACTTTTAACTACCAAAATTTAACGGGAGTGCGAATACAAAAACTCAATTTGCATTCTTTACTTTTTTGGGCGCTGAAAAGTGCCAAATGAACCAATATCATGCTTAGCAAATTCGAAGTTTCGCTCTTTAGTTATGCCATATTAACCAACAAAACCATTTAAAAGACATCATTAATTTCTGTGCAGTTCAACTTTTTTAATTAAGACTTTTTTTATCCTACTTGTGAATTCTGAAAATAGCTTATTCTGACTTTCAAAACATAGAGGCGAAGCAGAGCTTCACACAACTTGCGATACGTCAAAAATAGAACGGCAGCTAGCCGAAAAAAGGACAAAAACAACTGATATGAAAGTAAAAAAAAATTTTAAAAAAAAGTTTTTTATTTGTCTCGAAGGTGCTTGATTTTGGAGAAAGATACTGACAAAAACAACTGCCAATGTCAAACAGGCCTTGAACAACAACTTTCATCAAAAGGTAACTGAGCAGACAACACTTGTAGACAAGAAAATGACCCAAAAATGCTATAAAAACTGTAAACTAATTTTTCCACACTTCACTTCAAGAGCATGAAGGCAATGAAAATAATTTGGCCCTTCAAAAAACAAATTATCAGGAAAATAAACATGTATTATCAGCAGAAACAATCTAAGCCAAAGAAAACAAAAGTGGAAAAAAACGAAAACACTCAGCGAAAAAACAAGAAAAAAGATAAGAGTTGTTCTGAAAGCAACAACCAAAATTCGAATGAAACGGTCATTTAAATTGCAGACATGCCAAAAAAAATCGGTTTCCGGGCATTCCATCAGAACATAAAGGCCAAATGATTCAACTAAAATTGTAAAACTAGTTTTTAACCCGGAAAAAGTTTATATTGCGATTTTATAACGCTTGCTAATAGCAAGCGTAAAAAGTAACCGAACAATGCAAGAGGTAGTGTTTTTCCAAATTTGACCAAATTTCCGTATCACTTTATAACACCGACGTTAGGAGTTCAAAATTAAAAACCTTTTTTAAGTGCAAATTTTTCCGAAAATTTATCAAAATGCAAACAGAATGTTTCGACGGAATTAAAGAGAATGTTTCGACCATATTGAAAAAAAATTTCAAAATGGTCGTTTTTTTTCGTGCGTGGTGTGATGAAAGGATCTGATCAAAAGCACCGAGCAAAAAGCATATTCGATAGCCATAGTAATATAGGCCTGTTGGACTACAGTTTTTGTCAAAAAATGGCTCGAGAAACAAAAAAGCAAAAATAAATTGTTATATTTTGTTCAATTAATTTTTTGCAATTTTCTTGTGTTTTGGAAGTTTTTGATCCGTAAGTTGGCGCTAAAAGACTTCGAAAACTAATTTTGCTGTTGTAAAATTAAGTTTTCAGTGTTTGGAAACAAATGTTTCTATTACAAGCCTGCGTGCTGATAATACATCTATTTATGTGTTTTTCGAAAGTACATAAAACATCAAAAACTTCAAACCGGTTTTTCTCAACACTGACAAAGTTCTTTCAAAGTTTTCAAAAGTCGTTGAAATCGCGACACAAAAAGCTCGAAAATAAAATAACACTCGATCCATTCTGATGATTAATTGTGTTATTTGATTTTGCATGGAACACAAGAAAAAACTAATACACCCGAAGATTAAAGTTCCTCCCCATTTTCAATAGTCGGAACGAAAATTATAATTCAACCAAACTTCCTTAAACTAAAAATATAGGACAAGTCCAAGGGCACTTGAGCTTTCAACTGCTTTGCTCTGATATGAGCAGTGTTTTGCGGCCTAAAATAGGCTTGATTAGCAAATTGAAGTCTGCTTTTTACTTCATACTTGTTCACAAACTCAACAGATTATTACGGTTCTAGCATTATGTCACACCATTACTGAAACAACATTATGTCACACCATTATGTCACACCATTACTGGTAATAAAAAACAACATATCAAATTCGAAATTTATCCCTATCAACTAGTGAAAACGCCCCTCTGCGCGCAAAACTCTTGATGTGCTTCTGAACGAAATAGAGACGGATCACGTGTAAAAATAGTTCCCTAATAGAATGAATGCTTCAAATCAAAACGCGCTATTAAAACAAAAGATTTTAACAAAGCAAAACAAGTTACAATTTTCTGACATATTCAAATTTCGAATGAACTAAACAGCATTTACTCAACAACGTTTTCAACAACGTTCAAATATCTTATACAACTGTGGAAGACTCGCAACTTGTGAAAACGTTTGTTGATTTTTTGAGTTCGGCTGAAGAAACAGTTTCATTGCTGGCAACAATACGTGTTGATGAGCAAACTTCCAGTCTTTTTCCGGCCGATGCTTCCAAAAGCGAGAACCAGTCGCGTAGTATTTAGCAGTAATCCGAGCAATACTGTCGAAACATTCTTGCTCCTTACTCCAATCGGCTTTCAAGCCCATTTCCACAATCAACTCGGGAAGCATTTCAAACGAAGGCTCATAATTACGTAACAACATCGGAAACGATGACATGACACCAGAATCTTTGTCTATATTCCAGGAAAAATAGTCAAGCAACATAGCGGATCGAGATAAAAATTTTTCTTCAATTTTCTTAACTGTTTCTTCAATCGACTTGCCCTCATTTTTCAACTTGTCTTTGCGTGATTTGCTTTTAGTTAAAGCAAGCTCAGCCAAATTATATATACTCATTGTTTCAGAAGAAAATGAAAACCTGCCAAAATTTCCGAAGTCGTATATAATTATTTGGTAGAACAACTGCTCGCTTAAGTTTTGGAAATTCAGCAGCCAGAGTTCGGTGGCGTGCTGAACAAACGCTATTTCAGGACTTGCCGATCCCACATAAGTACAATTTGCAATTATTTCACGCATTTTAGCGCACGAGCTATCTTCGACTATTTTCCGAAGATTAAGCAAGCTGTTTAGCTTAAAAGTTCTTCTTGGCGGAAAATTTGGAGCAGCTTTTTCACAACTTTCAATGTCTCTATTCTTTTTAATTGACAAATTGGCATTGTCGTTGCCAGTGGCGACTGAGTATTCAAATTGAGAGTCGTGCGACATTTTGTTTGGTAGCATGGAGTTTGACCTTTTGACCAAGAAAGGGTCCAAGCTTTGCAACTTCGGGTCAGTTCTGACCATGTTGCATGGTGAGTTCGCCGCGCTTTGAGAGTGATTGAGGAAACTTTCGCGATTATTCGACGACAAACTATTTTCATTTTGGGAGGGAGTTAAGACGGTCTGCGAAGAAGAAACACTAACGAATGGGTTTATAGATTTGACTAAAAATTGCTGATTTGAGTTCGAATTAATCAGCAACTGGTCAACCTTTTTGCAAATTCGATCCACAATTTCGGATTCGTGTAACATTTTAACTTCTTCTTTAGTAGGATGTACATTTACATCAATTTCATCGCCTTTGACTAGCAAGTTGAGATAAATAAACGGGTTATTTCCCTTCAGAAGATATACAGAGTAAATATTGAGAAGAGATTTTTTCAAACTCGGAAACTCTACAAGTCTGTTGTTGACAAACAAAATGAACGAATACTTTTTTGAGACGTAACAAGGCCTTGAAGCGAAGCCTCTGCAGCTGAAATTAAAAACTGAGCAGTGTGCTAGTTCGATTTGCATCGAGTCCTTGGCCAGCGCTGACCCGTAAATATCTGCCAGCTTCTCACTGTGTGTTTTCGTGCCGGAAGTTCTGAAATCACTGGTTGATGATTCGCCTTGTTTGTGCAAGCAAAAAGTGACATGATAATAATGAAGAGCGTATTTAGTTACAAGATTACTAATTCGATGAAATTCATCGTTGTGATTGGCTAACGACTCTCGTCTAAGAGGCATGTTGAAAAACAAATTTTCGATCGTTATTTGAGTACCGTTGTTTCCAGCTGCCGGCCTTATAGCTTGAGACAACTTTCCCTCCTTATATGTTGCTTTATAGGCCAAGTCAGATTTGGAAGTTTTGGTTACAATTGTCAGCGACGAAGAAACCAGACTGATGCTGGCGAGAGCTTCCCCTCGAAACCCGTGAGTGGTCAAACTCTGCAGATCTTTGTATTGTTCCAACTTACTTGTAGTGAACCTCTCACAAACGATTTTCAAGTCATCTTTTTGCATTCCGCTGCCATTATCTTGTATTTGGAGCATTTTGAACCCGGCGTCCTGAACTGTAACATTAATAACAGTCGACTTTGCATCAATCGAGTTTTCTACAAGTTCTTTCACGGCCGAACTGGGTCGCTGTAAGATTTCGCCAGCGGCTATTTTGTTGACAACGTGTTCCGGCAGCTGTCTAATTCGTCGGGGCTCCTTGTATTTCTCTTCTGTCATGGCCCTCAATTACACGAAAGCATCAAACTACAACCTGAAACAGCGCACACATACCACCATGGGAGAAATAGAGATATTTTGAGAGATCTTTTCAACTACCCCCCCTTTTTGTAAGTACAAAATCTGAATATGTTAGCATTCTTTCTAAGGGTGCTTATTCTACACTAGGTACCAAAGGGACGAAAAAGTTCAAGGGATCTATGCCATGTACTTATGGACAAAGAGCAATTTCAAAAAAACTGATAGAATAACTTCTATAATGAGATTTATACGGCTCAACCGGCTTCTTTTGTAGCTCAAATATAGAAACAACTGAAAGAAAACAAATAATACAATTTTTAACAGAGGCGAAGCGGAGCTTCGCACAACTTGAGATACGTCACGAAAATACCAAAAAAGCGTTGCAAGCCAGCATAAAATATTGAAAGGAAAAAGTCGGATAAATATTTTGAAACGCTGAAAAACTATAATTACAAAAAATTCATAATTTTGTTTCGAATGACTTTCAAACGAAGATCGAAGTGAAAAATTAATCAGAATCATTTATCAAGTGATTTTGTTAACCTATTAGTTAACCTGAATAGTCCAATCGCAAGCAAATTTAACGAAACCAAAACAAACAAAAACATCTATCAGAAAATAAAGCAAAAAAAACATCATTATTGAGAAACTTCGAGTGATGATGCATTGCGAAACAATTGGATTTCGGACTATTTGGATTTCATTGGACGGCTTGTATTCCAGATTGGTCCACTACAAAGAAACATGACCTCCTCGCACAAAATGGAGACATGACCACATCTAGCCGCCTCAAAGGCACTGCAGCCACAGCCACTTGACCCTCGCTTTGGCCTTGACCACATCCCCCAGTGTAATGGTTACCTTTGACCTCTAGTGGTGGCATAAGGTATTGAGTGCAGCTGACTAGGATGCGCGTAGTGACACAGTTAGACCACGAGAGCCCAAGGGATGGCTTCTTCGCTGAAAAACACACTTTTGTTATAAAACAATGTAATATATAACAATAGGTGGTAGTTTCAATATCAACAGCTGGATCGCTTTTTGTTATACTTCGCACATTATTTTTAATTTATTTCAAAAGCCAAATTTTTCGTCAAAAGAAGTGTAAAAATTGAGTCTTAGAATAGCATTTCATTTGGCAGAGTAATGTATTTACAAAAATATCTTAGTAAGAGAACAATTGATTGAAAATGAAATGAATATATATTATGCAATATAGTTCTGAAATTTAAAATTTGCACTAAACTCAAAATTACCAACTATTGTAACATATCACTAACCATGTCTGTCCAAATTGAAAAATTTCTGGCCTATTTTGAGATCCAGCAAAATTCGCTCAAATATGAAAAAATTGCTTTTAAGGAGTGCGATTATAGCTAAAAATTTAGTAATAGGTGGTGGGCTATGATTCAAAAAAGAACTCTTTTTGTTAGGCAACTGAAACTTTTTCTCAGCGCTCTGACGTTTTCATAGATAAAAGTGAGGTTTGGGTGACAGGACAAGGTAACCCATCACAAAATATCGCATACATATAAACCCCAATGGACACAAAAGCCCATGCCGTTATAGCCTTTGTCAATTAAAACATTCCATGAAGGATTAAAGAAGACATAAATTACCAAAGATCGGTGCATATCTATTTATCGAAAATAAAAAGAGTAGCAATTCAGCTTCCTCAGTTAATTTGAGACGCCATATAGAAATAGTGCTGTTGGTAAAAGACTGTTTTCAGGGATTAATTTTTGTTTTTCGCCCTGTTAATGGAGTCATGATAGTTTGATAGTGAAACAAGGAAAATATATAACATTACACACATAGCACTATTACAAAAAACACTAACTTGACAGGTGCTATCTACGGCAAATATCAACAAGGCAAAACGCTGCTTATCTTGGATGGACACGAGTTCACTAAAAAGCGAGACACAAAACCTACTACTCACTGTCGTTGTGCAAAGTTGCGTTCTCATAAATGTCTAATGACTCTTATAGCTTGCGACAAAACCATTATTTCTTTCAGTCAGGATCACAGCCATGAGTTTAACATGGGTCGCGTAGAAGCAAGGCAATTGGTTAACCAGCTGAAAGAAACAGCGAAATCTCAAATCAACCCTGTAAGTAACCAGTTGATAGTAGCTAGCCTGAAGACAGTGAACAAAAACCCTGCAAAAACAGCTTTCACTTCCTTCACATGCAACGTTGGCAGGAACCTTCAATCATGAAAAAATGGCAAAAACAGTCAAAGTGACTTCATCGACAGGCCGGCACTTCCACATTCCCGAAAAATATTTGTCTTTTTGTCTATATGATAGCGCAAAAAGGGACGAAATTTTCATTATTTTCGAGGACACGGAAAATTAATACTTTTCGCGTCCATAGCAAAGGTTGGCTTCGTGACGGAAAGTTTGAGATATGTCCATTTCAGTTTTATCAAAAGTACGCAGTACATATCAAGAAAGGCGGCTTTTGACCCTCCTGAATTTACGTTTTGCTTAGCAGTATAAAAGAAAGAGTCCACTTACAACAGGATCTTTGAAGCCCTGATTAGCTTTATTGGAGATTTTGTGCCCGAAAAATTTCATTGACTTGTGATCCTTTATTTCACCAGCTCTATGAAAGCATTACGACACCGCGGCAGCAGTTTTCATTCGAACAACCAATGCAGTTGAAGGCTGGCATAAGTTTTGAGAAAAACTTCAGATTGATTATTCTGGTCAATATTCTGAAAGCAAGCAAAGGCACCCTTACTCAAACACCTTTGGTGTACCGAGAGCTTAATGAAAACTTTGCTAAATGGCCATTCATCTAGATGCACGTATAACTTTTCTAAACTGTCGTCATTTGGATGCTTTTTTAATTGATTTTCTAAATTCATAAAAACTTTGAACTCATAGCCATCGTGGGGGTACCATTTTTGAGACGAGAAAAAGACCAATACAACAATAACTTTGCATTTTACCTCATCCGCCATACCGATTACTCAGTACAGGTGGGTTTTGGGGTTTAGAAGACAGTTTTTACTGATTTCTAACTAAGACTTTTGATTGCCGGTGAATCAACATTTTGATCATTTGACCAAGAGTGAAATTCTTTAACCATAAAGATAAGTGAGCTTAGAAAGTCATATCTTTTCGCTTTCACACTTTAAACTGAGGTTAATTTCACGCGGTTTTAAATAAAAAAATTAGCATTGATTTGATCTGTTAGTTCAAATGCGGCATCTTGTGTTCATTGCTTGGATTAGCCTATAGCGATATTTTTTTATTGTTTCAGTTCCTCAGATGGAATATTTTAATTTGCGTGGGCTACTTCGTCCTGGGCTTTCTGTCTGCTGGGTTATTTTTGAGTGGGATACCTTTGTGGGATAAAATGATAAGGGATAATTTGTCATAAAACCGAGATTTGAACAAGTCAATGAGTTAACTGAACTTGATAGCTATGGTATTGATAAAAAAATAATAATAAAATCAGATTTCTAATTCTTACCAACGCGGTTATTTAGCCTGCTAAGCGGACTTATTCAGCCCACTTTTTCTGGACGTCGAGACAAGTTTTTTTTAAATTTTCCTTATGAAATCCAAAGCACGACTAAAATACCTTCAAAATGATATATCCAACCCCTTCCCCCAACCCAAATCCGCGTTTGTGTGTAGTTTCTGATTTTCGTGAAAAAACTATTACAAAAAATCTATCCTGAGCCATAACTGATTCCTACTCACTTCGTAATGAGGCAATCAATGAAAATCAGAGTTTGAAAAGAGGACAAAATGGAAATGGACTATCACACCCCTCAAATCAACTTATTGGTCTGATAACCCCTGAGAATGAGAAATGAGAATGATTTCATAAAAAAATCCACAAAAAACAACGAACGTGGCCAATTACTAGACCAGTAGCACAACATTACGACCACAGTGTTCCGTTTTTCTCAACAAATTGTCGATAGTGTAATTAAAACTCAAACTTCAAACTAGTAATTAATACACTCATTGACGCTGAACAATTTCATTATTTTAGCTACTTACTAAATTGATGTACAGTGCTGATTTAAATTAACCGGACAAAACGCTTTAAACTTGAAATTTAAAACGCATTTTTCTCAAATTGGGTTGAGTTTAGGTGAAAACTTATGAAGACAAAACTTGCTTAGAATTTTAGCAGAATTAATATGGTGTAATTTGTTTTGCAAAATTCGGGTCCAAATTTTTACCCCTAAAATGGGTCATTTTGGCTTTTCTTAGTTAATCAAAAATTACGCCAAAACTACCCAGTCGATCACAGACATAATTATATCAAAGTGAGCCCCTTACGTAGCCCAACAAACTTTAAGAAGGGTATTTTCTCCAAAAAAAATTGCATATTGTTTAAAAATTGTTTTTAAATAAAAAGTTGGTATTTTATATAGTAAAAATGACCTTTTTTGTCTATCAAACAAAAATAAGTTAACTTATACAATATTTTGGAGATTATACCCTCCTTAAATTTTGTTGAGCAACAAAAGAGGCTCACTTTGATATAATTATGTCTGTGATCGACTGAGTATTTTTGGCGTAATTTTTGATTAACTAAGAAAAGCCAAAATGACCCATTTTAGGGGTAAAAATTTGGACCCGAATTTTGCAAAACAAATTACACCATATTAATTCTGCTAAAATTCTAAGCAAGTTTTGTCTTCATAAGTTTTCACCTAAACTCAACCCAATTTGAGAAAAATGCGTTTTAAATTTCAAGTTTAACGCGTTTTGTCCGGTTAATTTAAATCAGCACTGTATTATAGAAGATCTTCCATCATACAATCACTGATCAAAATAATTGAAAAAGTAAACATTTCGATCAACTTCTCGGCACGACCAAAATTTAGAAACAAAATCGCTGCAATTAGATTCCCAGCCAAAAAAAAGCCTTCATAGTATACGAACGTTTTTTAAAATTTTTTAACAGTATATGTGATTTAAATTTGAACAAAAAAATTATTGAGCTCAAAGAGCTTTGCTTCCCCTTTTCGAGGTCAGATGACCACTTTGATGGAGGCAAACTTACTGCCAGTGAGCCACTTGTGCATATTCATGACATCTTCTGGAAATATGTCTGACACCTGGTTCATCACAATCACATGCACTCCATGCTCAACAGAGAGTCGCTTCAAACTAAGGGCCGCTCTTTTTCCTCAATTCGACACTTTTAGAACAATTATTAAACATTCGGTGACTATTAGAAACATTATAAAACACTCGGTAACTTTTAGAAACATTATAAAACACTCGGAGTAACTCGGTCAGTTTTCCATCAAATTTGGTAATCTATTTATTTGCCCCATATAACTTTTGCACCCAGGGAGAACCTACACGAACTCGTTGTATTGTGGTGATAAACGTTTACCAATCTTTTTGTCAACTTTGATAATTTAAAACTAAGATCAAATATTATACTTAAAGAAAGTTTGGTCCAATTTGAACTAGATCAACTTAAACTGAATAAAATTAAACAGCAGCATTTTTGGAGCTCTGGTCTTTTACTGGGTTTCCAAGTATTGGATTTTTTAATCATAATTAATTATGTGATTTATAGGCTGACTATTCCCTTTGTTATCCGTACAGATATTATAACAAAACATTCAGTTGTGATCAAACTAGTTCAGGTGCTAACATAACCAGTTGGTAACATTAGCATGTCATAGACTTAAAGTAAATTAGTTAACCTATAGAAGTCTGATGATTAAATAAGTACCTATCTATACGTAATCACAAATGTACTAGTACTTATAAGGCACTGTCTCTCAAATGATTCGAGGTCAGTGTCAGCCAGACTTAAACATAGAACATTGAATTTAAGTTGTTCTTTTATTCGTTTAACTCTCACTCAACACACACACTGCGTAGTTTCTCACTAACACAGAATCAACATAGATTATACCTTACCTACCGGTCGAGGGTATAACATGGCGCAGCCAGCAGTTCCAAAGAACCCGCTGGGAATAACACCATTCTGGCAAAAAGCCTCAGCGGAACCACCGGTAGAGTGGGACAAGTGGAACCAGCAACTATTCCTCGGCATTATTGCAAAAGACGGCGTAAACCTGACAAAATTGTTACGAAATCCTCCAGCTATCCGAAAACCGCAAGAACCAGGATACGAACTTCCTATAGAGGGGGAAACCGACAAGCAAATCCGAGATCGAAATCTGCGGAACCAGGAGAAACGGGTAGCGTGGGAAAACCAGTGTCAACACTTGGACAACCTGGGTCCAACAGTAGACGGAATCCCATGGGAAGAAGCCGACATTAAATGCAGGAGCTACATCTACTTGTGTTTGGGGACGGAAGGTCAAAGAAGATTGACCCAATACTATCCGGACCTCAAAACACAGGAGATTGCAACTAGAGACTTCTGGAACAGGCTAACCCGTCTTTTCGTCAAGGCACGAAATGTAACAATCGATCGGTATGAGGCTTTTACACGCAAACAGGGAAAAACAGAATCCCTGGAAGAATTCCATTGCGGACTTACGGAACTTAGAGTAAAAGGAAATTTCAAATGCACAGCATGCAACGATGGAGGTTTCGAATCCGAAATAGTCAGAGACTTGTTTACAGCAAACATGTCAAACGATGAAGTTCAAAAAGATCTTCTTGCTGAAACAAAAACGCCCGAACAAGCATTGGATTACGCGGTAAGACGTGAAAAAGGCCTAGAGAATCAGGTCCATATCAGAAAACAGGGAACTTCAAACAGTCACACCGGATTTTCAAATGTAAAGTCAGAACCAGTAAACTTCATCCAGAGGCGGGGTGGCTACAAGTCTCAACCGCGAGGTGGACGCAGTAGAGGAGGAACAACGTCGAGGAGTTTCACAGATAAATCTGGACAGAAAAAAGATTGTTTCAAATGCGGCAACGCATTCTCAGCAAATCACTTGGCACAGTGTCCGGCACGCGACAAAATTTGCAATAAGTGCACCAAGAGAGGTCATTTTGCAAGACTCTGCAAATCTAGCGAGGTAATGGCAATCCAGGAGGATAGTCCACAACAACAAGATATTCAAGACACCGATATGACCGCGTACGTCAATTACCTGCAAGCTGGTGACGTTATTCCGGGGTGGGAACTAATCCATCCGGATGATACATCCACCAACTGGATAAATTTCGAACTAAGACGGGCAGAAGAAATCACGAACACAGACCTACAAGGACATCTAATAAGGGTGCGCTCGCAGACGAATAAAATCGTTTTTATTGCTGACACAGGATCCCCAACAACTTTCGTGAACGAAAAAACAGCCAACCTACTGGCCACGACAGTAAAATCAGCAGTAAGAACAAGAATGAGAGGACGACGAAGCTAACCGAATGGTCTGCTACAATGGATACAAAATCCCGTCCCTTGGCCGCCTAACCGCTCCAATTGAATCAGGTGGTTGGACGATCCACACAGCCTCTTTTATAGTGGTGGACGACAGACGAGCGAACATCCTGGGGCGTAATCTTCTCCCACAAATTGGCATACATCTACACCAGGAGAGAAAGCCAGTTGGTAAGTCAGCACTACATGTTAACAGTATAGATAATTCAGATACACAAATTGCGACGTGGGTAAGAAACTCGTACCCCGGACTCTGTACACGAATCGGACGCTCAAAAAACCATATGGTGCATACAAAATTCTTATCACAATTCAAAGCTTTACAACAACGAGGGCGCCGCATTCCCATCCATATCCAAGAAAAAGTGGAACACGAAATCAGATCTTTAATTGATCAAGGCCACATCATTCGCCTTGAAAAATGCAGTGATCAACAATTCATAAGCCCTTTTGTAATCACTGTTAAGAAAGACGGATCAATTAAATCAGCCATGGATTCGAAACAAATAAATAAGTCGATCCACAAAAATAAGTACCAGATGCCGAATATTGATGTTCTGTTAGACAATATAGCGCAATCGGCACAGGATGGTACAAATAAGCCAGGAACGACATATTTTTCAAAAATTGATCTACTTTACGCGTATAGTCAACTGCCACTGGACGCCTCAACCCGTACGCAGTGTAATTTCAGTATAATTGGGGGAAAGGCTAAGGGAACCTATCAGTTTCAAACTGGTTTCTACGGGCTCACAGATATGCCCGCAGAATTTCAGAAAGCCATCGATCTAACCCTTAACAACGAAAAAGACACGTTCGCGTTTTTAGATGATATTTTAATTATATCACACGGCACAAAAGAACAGCACATCGAGAAACTGACTAAAGTCCTTAATGAATTAGATACTGAAAACATGGCAATTTCAATCGATAAGTGTAAATTTGGTTGCAAAGAAGTAGAGTAGTTGGGGTTTGTAATAAACGAACACGGCACCACACCTATGCAGAAGAAGACGGACGCATAATAAATCTACCATACCCAAAAACATTCAAACAATTGAAGAGTTTTATGGGTTCGATCCATCATCTAAACAAATTTATTCCCAATTTAGCTCAATTATGTAACCTTTTAAGACCACTATTGTCTACGGCAAACAAAATTAATTTTCATTGGAGCGATGAAAACGGAAAAGCGTTCAAAAACATTCTAAATGCCGTTAAAAATATTACGGAAAACAGACACTTCGTAAGTGATAGGGAAACTCGCATTGTTTGTGACTCGAGCCGCGAAGGAGTAGGCGCGGCTCTTGAACAAGATACACCAGATGGTTGGGCAACCATTGCGTATGCATCAAGGTTCATAAATTCATGCGAACAGAAATACTCGGTAAACGAACTCGAGCTCCTGGCCGTAGTATGGGCCATTGAACATTTCAAGTATTACCTATACGGTAGACGTTTTACTCTGATAACGGACCATCAAACATTAGTAAGTGCCCTAAAGAGTAATCGGGGCATTAAAACCTACCAAAGTAGGTTAACCAGATGGATTGATCGACTCATTCCATTTGATTTCGATATACAGCATCTGGCCGGTAGTAAAATGGGTCTCATTGACTACATTTCATGACACCCGGTCGGAAAACCAATACCCCCGGCGTACTGGGATGAAAACTTTGTCGTAGCATTAATCGATGACTTCGTCAAATGCGTCGAATTTCAAGATAGCAGCAGTAATAACCTATCCTTGAATAATGTTAATTCGATTAATTATCTAGGCACCAAAGCGCTCAACCGGAACGAGATTTCCCACGTTCAAATTCGGTTCAGACACAAACTGCATTCACTGTTCGTAGTCAATTGTTTGAATCAAGTCGCTTCTCATCGAAACAAAATTCTAAACAAAATTCAGTGAAAACCCACCAAAATTCAAAATTCAATCGAAATTCAATAATGAATAGGCATTACGCGAAAAACTCACAGCGGTGTACAAACCCAACTTACTTTCTTTTCAATAAATTACGCGTCCTTTAATGCATTTCTCTCAAAATCTCCACCGCCAGAACTCACCATCAGTGACGTAAAACACCAGGTTATACCGTCCACGGAAAGCCTTACATTCAGAAGAGTTGAAAACGACCGGGTCGATGCAATTTGTCAGACTCTGGCATTAGCGGAAACACAGGACACAGAGTGCCAGACGCAGACTGAGGAGGACCGCTCAACCGGTCAAGACACTGAGTGTCAAACAAACGCCAGCATAGAGGAAGAGGACACCCCGATGTTCCGCAAAAACTTACGAAAAGTGATGGACTTAAACTTCCTAGCAGCCGCAACGAAACGAGACCGGAACTTATCGCCGCTTCTCAACATGGTTAAACAGCAAAAGTGGGACAACATCAAGGATTGCTATGGCCCTTACTTTTATAATGTAAGACACCGCCTAACCGTCAGAGAAAATACCTTACACATCCGGGACAAGGGGGAATGCTAGAAGCGGCAAAACATATGTGGTACCCGTATTTACATCGCGATATTGTAGCAACTGCACAAAACTGCAAAAACTGCCGTGAAAAGGGTAAGAACTTTAAAGTAATATCGGGCAAACAACACTACACAACATTGGACGCGGTGGTAGAACCAAACGAAGAAATCCAATTGGATTTTGCGGGGGCCCCTTCCTGAAGAAAACGATAAAGAGGTTTACATATTGGTGGGTGTCGACCGTTTTTCACGTTTCCCATACGTTAAAGTCGTAACTAATAACAAAGCGGATACAATTATC